GCCCTTGCCCTTGCCCTTGCCCTCTTGCTGTTTGCCTAGTGCCACCTTTGGCTGCATCTCTGCCTCCACCCCTTGCTACCTTTATTATAAAAGAATCAAAGTGTGTTAGACCACTCACTAGGGGATGTATATCTAGACTGAACATTTTACCTTTTGTAACTTGAGTGATTCCTTCTCATGCTCTTCTCTTTGCTGGCACAGGAAAAATTAATGTACAAAATATTTAGTATTTGCCTGAGCTAATTCTTTCCCACCATTTGTAAATGTAAATATTTGTTAAGCAAACAATTCTCCATTGTTTGAACTAATTAATCCCATTCAGAATCAAATGTAGCTGTTTTCCAAATAGCAAAAATGAATGTGTAAATTTGTTTTCATATTACATTTCAGTTAAAAGTACTGGTTTCTGACTGTACATATGTGAGTCTGCTTCTATTTGGGTGCATAATCTATCAGTCCACTCCAGCAAAACAATGTTTTTTCTGGAATACATGAATGGGCTTCTTATTTATTTGATTTATATAGCCGTCCATCTCACATACATGACTCTGGGTGTCAGAACCCTCGCAATCAATCACTTACACTTACACTGGGTGGCTTACAATAAAATAGATGAAAATAAAATCAAATACATAATATAAAATACAAACACATTTTTATTGTCAACAAAAACTCATGAAACTATCTCACAATTATTTAAATCTATTTGGAGCATCTTTATCTAAATTAAATAAATAAATAGCCCCAGTAGTGGTTCCCTACACAACAAGTAATTATGTTACAAGCATCTGAGACCAGATATCTAATAGTGCTGGGGACTTAAACCAAACTCTTGTGATGCCATTTTAAATATTTCATATTATAAAACCAGTAGAGAACAAAGAAGAGAAGTAGCTTACAGAGGCTAATGAGGAATAGGTTGCTGAACTGGTATGTGTTTCTATGTGCTAGACATACAGTACCACCCCTGCTGTTGCTTCCTGCCAACACCCAACTAACACAACTGATCATTGCTAAACTAGGCTTCAACTGCTGTATCCATATACAAGTTTGGGTTGGGGAGCCCCTTACCCTAAACATCTGAATTCTGTATTGCAAAACGAATAGCTTATTATTTTGATGGTTTACTATCCCTATTGTTTGTAAAAGTACATTTGCCCATTCATTTATGTAAAAAATAGCTGTTCTTTTCCTCTCTTCTATGGCAGAATGTTAGCTATCACAGTTCCATTCTTTGACTGGAGCTTTGTAGCTATCTCACCAAATGTAATGGGATAATTATTGGCTGCAGGTAAATCACTGTCTTTTTTAAGAGGGAGCAAAACCAAATGAATGGAAAGTTGAGATCCAGTCACAGCTTCATGATGGAGTCCACTGGCTAGCTGGAGGTAAGTTGCTTTCTTTAAGCCTTAGTTTCCTAACTGGAAAGCTGGAATAATATGATCTACCTTTATTACTGGTTGAATGCAAGTAGTCTTTTACATTGTATGCCTGAAATAAGCAGACTGGAAATTCTATTTTTGTGGATCTCGCATCTACAACGTTCTTTGCTTTATAAGGAATAACACTATTTTGTTTAAAAAACAATGGAATTGGAAAACAGGAGATTATTACAGTAGTAGAATGCAGTAGCAAACCATTAGCAATAGTAACATGAAATTGCTTAGCAAGCACATATAAAATACAGACACGCACAAAATGCGAAAACTTAGAAAATGCAGAGAAAAAAATGGATCTGGAAGATGATTTGATTTAGCATCTCCCCCAATAAATTGGATGAGGCTACTGAGAACATGCATGCCATGCTTTGTTTTGCCTTCCTTATCCCCACCTTTCCCGAAAGCAGACATTCATAGAGCTGACAAACTGCACTGAAGGCAATACTCACTTGTCTTCCAAGAGAGACTGGAGAGTGGCACAGCCAGACTATGCCTTCAGTGGCCAGGCTCAGTGCAAGCTGGTGGCCCCTTTTCCCCCTTTTATGCCTTCCTTTTGTATATGCATGGCAGCCTGTGACATCAGCATCGGGACAGGGCATCTCAGCAGGTAATGCCTCTCCCCTCCTCCCATCTCAACTTCGGCTCCTTTTCATCAACTCAAGGAAGGAGATTTTCTATTTTGAAATATTTTCTTCCTTTAAGCAAATTAACTGGGAAACTAGACTGACTGTGTTCCTTCATTATTGTGCCACCTGAGATTTTACAAGTTTGAGATATTCTAAAACATCATTTAGATCATTAAAAGACAGCGTTGACATTTAAATTGCAAATTTTCCCCTTCCTTCCTTCCTTCCTTCCTTCCTTCCTTCCTTCCTTCCTTCCTCCTC